GAACATAAGAAGAGCGGCCGCCAACCCTGGAGATGGCTGGAACCTTGAAGATGCTCCCGTAACCTTTATTTACCACCAGTATCTTGGAAGCCATTATTTATGTATGAACATGGTTTTTTATTGTATTTCAATTAATATTTATTCTTGTTTTACTGTAAACCGCCCAGAGTTGCTCTTGAGTGAGATGGGTGGTGACTAAATTTGAAATATAAATAAGGAGAGAGAGAGAGAGAGAGAGAGAGAACTAGAGATCCTAACTCAGGAAGACAAACATGATGTAATAGTCATCACTGAAACCTGTTGGGATAATATTCATGGTTGGCACATAGCACTGAAAGTCTACAACTTACTCAAAAGGAACAGACAAGGAGGATTACGATTTAGCCAACATCTGCTGTGAATCTACCTCCACCTATCCTGTCCCTTCTCACTGACAACTTCATTTGTTAGAAGGTGGAAGAAGGAACAAGGTCCACTATCCTGGACTTAATCCTCACCAACAAGGAAGAAGTGGAAGAAAAATGAAGGTGACAAGAAATTTGGGAGAAAGTGACCATGTTATCCTTGACTTCGAATATCAAAGGGAGGAGAAATAGACAAGAGACAGACTAGCATACAGGACTTCAGAAGAGCTGATTTCAATTAACTCTTAAAGAAGGTGGTTTGAGTCTGACGGCTTCAAATCCTCAAGGAGAAAAAGGTTCACGAAGGATGGGAAAGCCTACTAGCAAGATCCTGAAGGTGGGATTGCAAACATTTCCTATAGGAAGAAAAAATGGGAGAAAACAGCATGGATGTATGCAGAACTCCCCAAAATGCTGAAGGGAAAAGAGGCGTGTGCAGGAAATGGAAGGGGGAGAACGTAAGAAGAATGCAAGATGGTCTCCAGAACCTTGAAGCACTCTGAAAGAGAGGCTGAGGCTCAGGAGGAGCAGCAACGTGCAAGAGATTCCAAACATAAGAAAAATAGTTCTTGGGAGAAGTTGAAAAGGAAAGCAAAAGATGGAGGAAGAAATGGTGAATCACTCATGGGTGACTATGAGAAGGCAGAACTTCCTAATGCCAACTGGACAATTGCATCCATTTCCTCAGAAGGAAAATGGAGCCCTAGCTGGACTTTGTTATGCTTCTGAGGGAAGAAGGAACTGCAGTCTAGGCTAGATAAGGAGAGAGCAAGAGAGAGATTAGATAATTTGAATAAATTCAGGTCTCCAGGGCTGGAAGCATTTCATCCCAGGGCAGTGAAGAAGGTGATCATAGAACCACCCTTGGCCTTCTCTGGAAGCTGCTGGAGGACCAAGAAGGTCCCAGAAGACTGGAACAGAGCGAGCATCATCCCCATCCTCAGAAAGGGGGAGGAAGAGGACCCAGGGAACTAGACCTCTCTGCTTGGCATGGTTGCTGGGCGGGGATTCAAACAGATGGTCAAGCAGCACATTTGGGAGCGCCTGGACAGGCATGCAACAATTAACAGGAGCCAGCAAGGCTCTGTCACTAATGGATTTTGCCAGAATGACCTTATCTCCCTCTTTGATCAAGTTTCTACGGGGGACGGTTATGGACGTAGCGTATCTGGACCTCAACAAGGGTTTAAGAGAGTGCTTTATTATATTGTCCTTCATAAAATGGTAAAATATGGGCAGGATGGTACTACTGTCAGAAGGAGTCACAGTTGGCTAATGGACTGCGTGGCACAGAAGGAGGCCTCCTTAATGGCTCCAGTTCACCTTGGAGGGGAAGATCAAGCAGAGTCCCACAGGGCTGCTGATGTTAAGTTCGTCGAGGTTGCAGGTGTCACAAAGCTGGGAGCGTTGCTCATTCTTTAGATCAGAGAGAGGAGATTCAGAAAGATCCAGACAGGCTTGAGCAGTGGGCTGAAATAAATAGGGTGCCATTTCACAGGGAGAAATTCCAAGTTCTACATCTGGGTGAGAAAAACGTAAGGTAAAGATTTTAAGATGGGAGAGACCTGGCTTGACAGTACTACAAGTGAAAGGGATCTGGGCACCCTTGTCAGTCGCAAGTAAAGCATGAGCCAGCAATGTGATGCAGCTGCTAAAAAGGCCACTGCAATCCAAGAGGGCATCAACAGGAGCACAGAGTCCAGTTCATGCAAAGTCATTGTCCTTTCTGCCCCGCCCTGGCCAGAGCCCACCTGGAGGCCTGTGCCAACTTCTGGGCACCCCAATTCCCAGAAAGATGGGGGCAAATTGGAGCAAGTTCACAGGAAGGTTGCCAAGGTGGTGAAAGGCCTGGAAACCAAGCCCTGTGAGATGGTTGAGGGAGATCTGATCACCGTTTCCAAATATTTGTACAGCTGAAGACTACACAGGAGTAGACTTAAGAGCATGGTTATCAGTTTGCAGGTCTGATCCTAGAGCAGTGTTTCTCAACCTTGGCCACTTGAAGATGTGTGGACTTCAACTCCCAGGATTCCCCAGCCAG